TGGCACAACTTCAGAGAGCTGTTGGAGATGCTGTCAGGCAGATTGATAGTGCGATCCATGTTGAAATGTTTTCTGATAAATGAAACAGCCTACTCTTGCCTGCTCCAAAGACACACCATGAGTTCTGGGACTATGTGTCAGAACTTAATACTCCTCCTTCCTCAGCTGGAGAAATTTGGGAGCCTTTGGTTGCTGCAGATGCTGCGTGTTGGTTAAAGATACTTGCTGCACTGTGTTGCACCAGCATTTCACACAGCTCAAGGCAAAGGAACAGACAGCAATGCCAACCAAGTTGAAGGAGACATCTCTGAGAACAACTTCGCCCACCATTTAGGTAATAAGGCTAGCAAAGGCATCTTCTAAGCCATCAAAAGATACCCAAGAAACCACACATATATGTGGACCACTGTTCTGGCATGTAGGATTTTTTGGCTTGGAGATCAGTTTGTGATTCAGGTCTCTTGACAAAGCAGGTGTGTCAATGAAACACAGGATTTTGAAGTGAACATGCAAAATGGTGTCATACTCTTTCATTGTATAACTGCTGCCAGTTGGTCCTTTCACACCCCAATGTTTGATAGTCTCAAATCCAGGATGATGGTTTGCATATTGTAATGAATTCAGTCTGATGAAATCAGCTGGTGACACTAAATAGTCCTTACAATCTTACCAATAATGTATGGGAGATGAGTGGGATGTTACATAGAAACATAACAGCTTGTGTATTCTTTTCTTCTGTTTGTGACTTGGAGCTGTCCATGGGATCCTTAAAGCTTAGTTCAGTGTGCTTGTCTTGGGGGTGTTTTTTGCCATAGTATTATAGTCCTAGTTACTCTACCATCTTGTTGCTAGTGATTGTGGAATTCAGTGGATGGTGTCTTCAGAGCTTCCAAAGCCATCAGTCACCCACGGTGTGTGGAAGTCACAAACTGAGTGTGTTAAAGGTGTTTTATATGTAAGCTAGGTGAGACTTCTGTGGTGAGAACAGAAGACAAAGCTGGAAACAACAGAGAGGATCTCAGGCTAATCACCTGTTCTGCAAGTATTGACCTGCTTGGGTTTTTTGCCTTGTTTTGCCTTGAATCTTTTCTGATACTCCTGAGCAAAGCAAAGAGTTGAGAGTCAAGTGGCCAGAAAAGGAGACCGATCCAAATCATTCAGGTTTCCTCTGAGGTTGGGCAGCACCAGCCTCACTTGAGTTCACTGAGTTAGGCAGCACTGTGGTTCCTGAGTGAGGTGGGGAAGGGGAGCAGTGTGCTGGAAGCGGCTCTGTAGGTGGAGGTAGAAGGAAACTGAAGCAGAGGAAAGAAAGATTTTATTGTCTTTCCTTCCCTGGACACTTCTTGGTTCTTTCTTCCAGATGCTCTTCTCCTGCCTTTTCATCATTCAGAGATTCATTTAGCAAGATTCACAAGTTTCTCATGTTTAAAGAGTGAATAATATTATTCCAGTTTTCGGAAGGAGGACAGAGCTTTATTGTCTTTAAAAGTTTCTCTCTGCTCTGGTCTTTCCCAGACTTGAAGGATATAACCAAGTCATTTGGGGACAGTTTCTGTTTCCTATTGTCTCTCTGCTGAGGCTCTGAGTACCAGTTTCTGTGAGATTGCAGCTTAATTACAGATGTGCACAGATAGCTGTAAACCCAGGTCTTTTATTCCTTCCACTGTCTCCATTAGGAGCAGAGGAGGTTTCTTAGACCATCCCAAGCAATTACTAGGCTTTCTGCCTTCCATTCCTCACTGTGCAAAGCACCTTTCTCTCCCCTTGATAATGAGGCAGGTAGGTCTTAGAGTGATATGGCTTTTGCCCTGTACCTCAAACATAAAGCCCAAAGCAGTGGTTGGTCTGGGGTTAAGCCCTGCAAATGAAGGGGTGATGTGTCCCCCATTTGAAGTTAGAAGGTGGTGCTTACTCATCTCTGCTGGCTGCTCTTGACTACTTACCAATTCCCATTTGTCTTTGATGGGAGCCCTGATATCCCGCTTCTGGCATAAAAGAGCAGTGTTCCAGTGGTGTTTCTGCCTGGCATCCAATATGTCACAGCACTCAACACCCAGTGTGCTGGACAGTAACACAGGGAAGTCAGATCACTTGTGTTCAGGGCCTGGTTCTTCCTAACTCGTATGTTGGGGCTGCTTTCTTTTCTGAGTTATGACTTCTCTATTTCTGTCTCATTTCCCCCCAGCTAATAAGAGTAGCTATTTTCTCATCTGTTTGAACATTCCTTTCTCCTTTAAACCCTGCTGAAGTCTTGGCACTGTAGCACATTGGGATAGGTCAATCATTATTGAATTTTTTTTTCTCCTGCAAGTTCCCTTTAGCTGCACTGTTTTGTAATTCCCACTTAAATACTGACTATGTTTGGGGGGAGGAATTTAAAGGGATGGGGATTTCTCTGTCCGTTATCAACGTGATGTGTTCTCATTAGGGCTCAATATAGTGTGATACCTAGACATGAGATCACAGAAAGAGATGTTGACAATCCAGGTGTTTATCCAGTGCTGGGAACATGGATTCTGTCTCTGTTGCAATTGCATCTTAAATTCACAGCCTTTCTGTGAAGCTTTTTTGCCGTAGTATCGCCACATAACTCTCTTAAATCAACATCACACAAGCCTTTGGCAACAGGGAAAATATAGCTATCCCGGGTTATGAGGTGGGAGGATGGACATAAAGGCCAAAGAGATTAAATACCTTGCCCAAGGATGCTCAGGGGTGAGTGTCAAGGTCTTGCTCTGTTCTCTTGGGCTTTGTCTCATAACCACAGGGCACCTTTCCTCACTGATGTTATCTTGGCTGGTTTGGCAGAGCCCCAGAGACTTTCACCAATTGAGCAGAGAGGGGAATTTACGGGTTTACAACAGGAATCAGAATCCAGCCAGGGATCCTGACCTGGGGCATTTTTCCTGATGTACTGTCACTGCAGACTCTTGCTATTGCTGGTGGGTCTTCCATCTCGTGGTTGCACAGGGCCTTGACAGCTGCTTTTCTTCCCTCAGCAATCAGCACAGGTTCCACAGCACAGCTCCATTGATTTTTGTGGCCCTGGTTAGAGGGAGAAACCTCCCTTTTCCCTGCATCCTGGCTTTTCTGTGTACAGCTGATCACCACAGCAGGGGGTATTGATTTACTAATTGGGCAATGATTTCACCTGATTGATAATAAAGTGTTGGACATCCTCCCTGCTGAGCTGAAACTCAGCCTGCAGCTACTGGTGGATTACTTGTCCTTTTGCAGCAGATAGTTCCCTGTTGTTAAGTAAACTGATCTGTTGCTTGGTAACCTTCGAATTACTGTAGTAAATGCTTGGAGACACAATGAAAGTGTCAAACAGAAACTTTATCAAGTGATGGAGGGGGCTGAGCAGAGGATACAGCTGCATTATGAAGTTCTTGCAGCAGAGCTTGGCTGGTTGAGGGCAAACCTTGGCCTGCCACCTACAGACACCCCTCTGTGCTGCTGGGGCTTGTGCATTCAGGAAGGCAGTTGGACAAGGCACATCTGTTGTGGAGGTGCTGCAGATACAGCTCTACCAACAGCACATTTGCTTCATTAGCTGTATAGTTGCTTTTGAGTTCATTCTGTCTCTTTGTCTCATTTCTGTGGGTTCAGGCTGGGTGGTAGTTGTGTGTCTTATTTCTCTGGTATGTCTGGTCTCTGGTCCTTGAACATTTAATTAGTGAGAGAATGGAAGCTACACTGAAGGTAGCAGAGTCTTCTTGCCTGTGTATTCCAGGCTTTCTCTTCTAGGGAAAACTGTCAGTGGTAATCATCACACCATCCTTTTTATCATTCTGATCCATCCTTCCAAACCCACTCCAGCCATCAAACCTACACAGAGATGGGAAACAAGCTGTGGAAAAGGGGGCAAGCAAATACCCCAGATAGCCAAGAGTTTTCTTCCCTCGTCTTCTTTGTGTGTTTGGCCTAATGAACGGGTTGATCTGTTGCTGCAGCCAATAATGAGTCCTTCCCCTGTGATCCCCAGCACAGTTCTGGACACCTGGAAGAGCTATGCAAGGCAGTACTATATGGTGTCAACCTCCAGGACTGCTGCCGTCCGTGTGTTGTGTAAATGCACACTGGCATGAATGGGGGGCTTCTCTTCTGTTTCCTCATATTTAGAGGGACAGATAGATTTCTTTTCACTCTTGGAAAATTTTGGGTTCTGTTAGTGGTCTGTATTATAAAGAGGAGAGTGGGGTGTGTAGACACCAAGAGCTGTGGATATTCCTTCTGCCCAGGACTATGGGAACATGGTAGGGAACAATAGGTCCTGCAGCTAAAATGAGTGAGAGTGATAGCAGCACTGAGGATGAGATTCGGCCAAGGTTATAGAGCAGGGGCAGAACTTGTGGTGGAAAAATGCTGAGCAGGTTTTTATATTTATAGCTGGCAGTTTAGGGCTACAGGGAGATCTACACTGGAGTTTAGTGGCTGGGCAGAATGCAGCTACCTTTGCAAAAGCTGGTCTCTGGAGAGGGAGGCTGTAAGGTGCATGTGATGTCTGCAGGACACTGCAAGAAAAGTGTTGGGTTTAGACTCCAGACTTTTTTTTGCTTGTTTGTGTGGAGGTTTTGTGTTTTCAAGCTCTGGCAGTCAGTTCTGTTTATAAAATGTTTCCATTGCTCAGTGTCTTAAGGCTGGTAGGGTTTTTTTTTTTGTTATTATTATTCTAATTTTCAAGCTGCTGTGTCACCTAATTCATCAGCCTTCAGCGCACAACCTTCCTCCTGCTCCCCGCCACCCCTGCAAGAGCATTTGTACAGAACAAAGGCTTGCTTTTAAAAACGGCATGATATTTTGCCACCTTTGTGAAAACCTGTCACAACAATATCTAATTTTGCATGAGACAGAATTTCAAATCAAGCCTCAAGAAAAGGAAGCTGTTCTTCTGCTAATGTGCAAATGTCACTTTCCAGGGTGGTAAAATAAGTAACCCACCTAGCAGCATTTCAGAGAGAAGGAAATCTAATTCCTCTTATCTTCCCTCTGCCCAGGTCTGACCTTCTCAAGAAGACCCGTGGCAAACATTGCCTTGCTGAGATCTTGCGATCTGAATATTCCAGTGGGATGGACACGGGTGTATCCAAGGTCAAGAAGAAGAAAAAACAGAGAAAACCTGGCAACCAGCAGATTCCAACATAAGTCAGGACCTTCCAGTGGTTGGATGCAAAACCTGCTTGAGTGCCTCTGCTGGGGGTCAGGGTGACCTGCCAAATGAACACAGGAATGTTTCAATTTATCAGGCAAATATGGGAGGGATCTTGGTGTTCTTGGCCTCCTCCCTTTCATTCCATAGGTCCAAATGGAATCGAATCCAGGCGTGTCCTGTTGCACTGCTGCAATTGAATGTGGCCTCATAGAGATGCACCACGTTTCTAAGGTGGTTTTTTTACAAGAAAAATAAAAAAGGTTAAATATGTTTTTCAGAAAAATGTGATGTGTCTATAACGTGAAAGTGAGACGGGTACTCAGATAGGAGACACTTTCCTGCTTAAAAGAGCTGCAGAAATACTCCACAATCTGTTTGCTTGCTCATTTTTAACCAGATAAACAGTAGTGGCAGAGAAGGTTCTGGGACCATGTTTAAGGAGGCCCTTTCCCCTGTCATTATACATGGTGTCACTTCTGTTACTATCTTGGGTCACATAGCCATGTTGCTGCCACCTTCTCTCCTGCCCTTTGTGCACTGTCTATCCCTGGACACTGATCATTAGCCAGATCTTGGCACCTGTAAAGAGTCTCCCCAGTTTCAGTGCAAGTGGTAGGACTGTGGAGAGCTCTCTTCAGTGTAGTGACACAAGGCCCCTTTGGGGCAGAGCTCATGGGCACAAATCTTCATGTCGAAACTCCTGAGTTTGGGAATGAACACATCATGTGGGAAGGAGCCAGTGTGGCATCTAATGATCTCCAGACTTCTCTTTGCCTGCAGCATGTGGTCTCACTTAATTGTATAACACAGAGCAGATATGAAATGTCTTGCTTCTGAACATTAAAGCCTTTGCAGGCTCTTGCTAACACTTGTCAGTAGTAACCCCAACTTTCTGGGTTCTCTGTGCTTTGGCTAGGCTGATATTGAGTACATCCCAAGCTATGGATTTCACTGCTTGCTTTTCACATCTGCCTTCTTTCTTGTTCTTGCTTGTCGAAGAATTGGGATTACTGAGAAAAGAGAGGCAATATGGCCTAAAGGTGTTGAGACCAGCACTCATGCACCATTGCCCAGCATGCCAAGTGGAACCTGAGCTTAGTGGAGTCGGTGACAGAGCTCCCCTTGAGTTGGGGCATGGGGGAGAGTGAGTGCTCCCCAAGGCCTGCTGGAGGCTCACAACCTCCCCCTGGACTGGCAGGTGAGCACCCACCTCCCTCTCCCCGTCTGCCTCACTGTGCTTCTTCCAGCGCCTCCTACAACACAAGCTCCAACAGTACACACTTGAAAACAGTGCAAAGCTTTCTGCTACCTGTGTGCATCTTCCTCGAGGAAAGCAGTGAGGAAGAGCGGCCCATCTGTGACCCAGGCCAGGCACATTGTTTAGCACAGGACCAGAAAGTGTTGAAATCCAGTAGCAATTTCAAATGCAAGAAGGAAAAAAGTACAGAAAAAGGGAGTATAACCAGATGAAAATGATGCTCACTTTGTGACTACAGAATTGAGGGCACTTGCTCAGGGCTATAATGAGTCATAGTGAGCATTGTAGGAGGGAAGCAATTGCCCAAAAGTATTTAATTTCTGAAATTAATGTAACTTTGAGAACCAAAATGGTATTTTTTTTCGTCCCAGGCAGTTACCAAACACGCTGCTTTTACTTAACACTTCAGGAAGATGTTATAAAGAGACCTGGATAAAATTAACCATGGTTTTGCAGAGATAATGAAGTTACCAGCATTTACTAGATTAAGATAAAATAACAAAGCCCACCTGGTTCTAGTGTGAGTACTGTTTGGAAGAGCAATTGGGTTTAAGGCAAATGTCATCTTAAACAGAAACCTTGTGAGGATGAAAATGACTCAGAGAGAGTGACGCAGAGAGTGTAAGTTTGGGAAGAACTGAGCTTGTGCATGAGAAGAAAATACATGACCTTCTCCTGACTGCCACATATGGATTAATAGGGACTGTTGGCAAATTCATAACAGTACAAATAAAGGCAGACGAGTGAGAGATGTCAGGAAATGTTATTGCCATCTGTATGAACTGGGAATGTAACATTACAAATGGTTGTGATAAATAATGTGATTAAAAAAATAGAATGCCTTTTTCTTCCAGCTTCACCATGTTTTAGCAAGTAGTGCTGGATTACTTGTGGGATTAGGGAAAGGAAGAGGAGGGGATTGTTAAACAAGAAGGAGGAGGTGTTAGAAGGAATACACAGGCACCTGAAGCTAAGCCGAGTTTGCTCTTAATAAGCTTGAAGGCCAACAAGCAAAATGTGTTTGAATTGTAGCTGGGTCAGCAGGAACCAAGGTCTGCCCTTGTTCACTTTGGTAGCTCTAGCTTGGCTCTGTGCTGACTTTGTGCTGGTGCATCACTCAATTCAGGTAGAGCCTGGTAGGTCTGAAGTTAATTTGTACTCAACTCAAAGCACCTTATCAGCAGGGCAGGACATGGGGTGGTACCTGCCCTGGAGCAGGGGTGACCAAGCTGCAGAGCTCCACTGGCTGCTGTAGGAGCCAGCTCTTCCGAGCATCTGAATGCTGGACAAGCTGCTGGGAGTCACGGTGGGCTCCCCTGGCATGGAGCAGGTTGGATGTCACCCTGAACCACTCCTGAGTTTATTCCCTCTTGCTCTGAGGTATGTGGTGTGTGTTGCAGGGGTCTTGGCTGGGTGGAAGCTGCCTATGTGGCTTGTACGGGTGCGGAGATGGGCTCTTGGCAGCGTGCAGGGCACCTCTGTTGGCTTTGGTCAGGCTTGATTGTGTCTTGATAGTGGTGAGTGGTAGGGGCCCTGCTGCCCTGCAGCTTGAATTTTGTGTGTTCAGTCTGGAACTGATGGCGCTGTGGAGCTTTATATACAGCTGCCTGTGAGGCAGACCTGGACTGGGTCCGGGTTTGCCTTCCCACTGCTCCCTGCTCTCACACCTGGAGTCCTGCTGCTCCCAGGAGGAGCTCTTTCCTCAGCTGTCCTTTGCCAGCAATGGGAGCCCACGTCCTCCCCTGCTCTGCAGCTGGAACATCTTGAGTTTACACTTCAGGGCTTCAGGATAGCCAAAAGGAGGTCCCCTTGGAACAAAGGTCACAATTGAGCACCCGCTTTCAGTGTCTAGGCCAAGCACAGTACCCCTTAGTGCTGGTACTCACTGCGGAGAAGCACTCATAACTAAGCAGGATAGAAAGCAACAGAGCTCCCTGTTCACAACAAGTTATTTTCTCCATAAGCCTGGGGAGAGGGCAGGGAAAGCACCGACTGTTCAGGCCTTTCCATCCTGGGTTAATTTTGCTTGGTATGCACATGAAATCGTGGAACATCTCTGCTAGGAACGATCATACTGATGTCACTGAATTTGTGTGTGTGGTTCAGTGGAGCAACTTCTGCTCTCTCTCTGGTCTGAGGATGGTGGTCCCTATTAAAGCTGTGTCAGGAGGAGAGGAAGATGGCCCTCAAGCTGGGTAAAAGCCCACAAGGGGCTTGAGAGCCAGGGCTGTGCTTGGTCCTGGCAAACCCACTGCACTGACCTGTTTGTGTCTTGGATCCAGAGCCCGGGCCTGAAACCAGCCACCAGCAGCCTGTCCGTTGGAGTCTCTGAGCCCCGAGAGAAACTGGTGGAGCAGAGCTGGGGCAATACTCCAGAGGTTTCCTTAATGGGATCGGTGCTTCTTCTCAGCTCTGCCTTTTACACTGGTTTCAGCACAGCCTGTCCCACCCCGAGGACTTGCCAGGATAACGCCTGCTTGGCACCAACCTCTAGAAATCCAGAGTTGGGTTTCCAGCCTGGTCAGGGACTGCTGTAGATGCAGGTGGGTTCTGATGTTGGACAGTGGGATCCCATCTTGGTCCCTGCACACAAGCTGGAGGTGAGGCTGGGCCTTAAGCAGCTTTTGAGGCTGCTGAGATCCTCCTGCAGGCGATGCTGTTCATGTGGCGAGTGCAGTGCTCTCTGACGAGAGCCTAAAGGCTGTGGTGTCTTCCCTAAACTGAGTCATTTTGAGCTTGCCTTGCTTGACTCTGCTTTGAGATCAACCTGGAGGAGATGGCTCCAGCCTTTGCCTCCCCTCTGCAATCCTTCCTTCTCAGCCAGACTCGGCATGGCTGTTCCCCCTTCCTGGAGGGGAGGTTTGAGAAGCCCCTCTCTTCTAGCTCTGCCCCACTCTCTCCCACCATCCTCATGGCACAAACTGGACCCTGTCACTGTGCTACAGCACAGGCTCAGCCCCGCTGTTCCAGAGGAGTTTCCAGATGTGAAATGGCAAATTTAAATATTGCAATTACAAACGTGTAACGAAGCCTTGTACTTCATTAATGTCAGAGGAGGAATCTGCTACGGCTACAAGGACAATTAAATATTAGAGAATGTCTTTGATTCACATTCCTGCTGTGTAAATGGGAGGAAGGTTGCTGTATGCTCCTTGCCTTTGCGCTCACAAAATGAAAAGCACACCCACTGCAAGTTGTCCTTTGATAGATTTTTAATATGATTTTAAAGAGTTTTGTTTGGCCTCATTCTTATTCAATGAGATTAATTTAAAGCACTTATCCCCTGGGTTTAAGTCAATCCATGTAGGATTTGGGACGGGGGTTTGTTGCCCGGGGAGGGGGGTTGTTTGCAGGCCTTTCTGAAAGACTCCTTTCCCACTTCATTAACCCCGAGCTGGGAGCGATTCTCCCCCCCCCTTCCTCCTCCTCCTCCTCGCCCCAGCCGAGGCTCAGGGATTTACCAAACTCCCCCATTCACATGCAAAGGATCAGCGCGGTCCACAAAGGCCGGGGGCTCTCCCCTCCAGGCGTGGCTGTGCATTTGGCCGAGCCGACAATGACCCTCCCGGCGGGACCGGGGCTACCGGCGTGGGGGGAACCGGGGCAGAGCTCCCGGGACGGGGCCGTCGGGCTGGCACCCGGCCCCGGGGAGGGGATCGTTGGGGTCGGAGGAGGGGGGGGGCGCAGACAGCCGGGCCGCCGGCTGCAGAGGGCCGGGGGGACCCCGCCGCCCATCTGCCGGCGCCCCGGGACGCGAGCCGCTGCCCGGCTGTCCCGGGGACCAGCTGCCGGGCCCGGTGGCCGCGGCCGGGTGAGCGACACTTATAAAGGGTGGAAACAATCCATTTTCCAAAGCGATCGTTTAAAGCACTTAGGCAATTATACCCTGAACATCAGCGTTATTGAGGCACCGGCGCAGCGGAGGCAGCATCAACCCCGTCCGTCTCCTTCTCCCCGCTGCCCCCCAGCTCCGCATGCCGGCACTGGGGCCGGGCCCCGGGGAGCGGGACACAAGCCGCGGAGGGGATGCTCCCAGTGATGGGAGGTGGGAAAGCTCCTCTTTGCTTTTCCCTCTCCCTCGGCGGCCGCTGCTCCGCCAGAGCAAACGAAGAAAGGGGCCGCGGAGCCGAAGCCCGTTTGTTTGTAAAGAAGTTTTATTTCCACATTTAAAAAAGGGGGGGAGCGGGAGCGGCTCTCCGGGACCCACCCCCCCCCCCGGCCGGCCCCGGTATACAGACTGACAAGAATCACTTACACAGATACGCCCTCGGGGTTCACAAATAAATAATTCATGTACATTTTGCGCAGTTTATTTACATTTGCCGCTTCCCCCCCCCCCTTTTTTTTTGTCTTTATTTGTAGTTACGGACGTCCCAAAGTCTCTGTCCGGACACCGCTTCCCCTCTCCCTGCCCCGGCCCTTCCCCTGCGGCGGGACCGGTGCTTCGGTATCGGGGAGCCGCTGGAGGCGGAGCCGTCCGTGACGGGGGAGCTCGGTCCCCACCGCGGTCCTTGGGGAGAGGCAGAGAGGCAAAGCCCCCCCCCTCCCGGGGGCAGCCGGTCCCTGCCCGAGCTCCGGGCGGGGGGCACATGGGGATGGGGCAGGTCTCCGGCTCTCCGTCCTGCCAGGCCTGTCCTTGCTTCTTGCGTTCTCTATATATATACTTATAAAAAGGAGGGGGGAGAGGTCTCATTTATATATATATATATGTATAGAGGGGGGTGAGCGGGAGTCTGTCGCTTGCCCGCTGCCCCGGAGGCGGGGTGGCCCCCTCCAGCCCGGTTGGGTGCCGGTGGGGCTGCCCCGGGCGGCCGGGGCTCACCGGGGTTGCGCGGCCCGGGGCAGGACGCCGGGCAGCGGGGGCAGGGGCGGCGGGGGCTCGCTGCCGCCCTGCAGTCCGTGGATGAGGATGCGGGGCACCAAGGGTCTCTGTAGGGCGGGGGGCGGCGCGCTGGGTCCGCGGTACAGGTAGAGAGCGGCGCCGGGGTCCAGGTTGGAGACCAGGCTCTGTGGGTAGAAGTAGGGCGAGGGGAACATCCTCTGGAGAGCAGAGTAGTTGCCAGCCTCGGCCAGCAGCTCCAGGCCCACCGCCGTCTGCCTTTTCCACTTGGTCCTGGGGGGAGAACAAGTCGAGAGAAGGGGTCAAGAAGGATGCACCAAAAGCCGCTCTTTTTACCCTTTTCAGACCCCCTTTCCTTGTGCATCCCTCTCCCCGCCGCTGGTGCCCGGGGCCAGTCCCTCCTGGACTGCAGGGATGGGATGCAATTGGATGCGATGGGTGGGACCAGTTCACTGTGGGGGGGACATAGCCCCCATTAACGGAGCGAGGGGCTCCTCTCGCTGCTGTCCCCGCCGCGCCAGCCCGGCGGGAGCGCCCAAAGAGCCTCCGGAGGCACCGGAGCCGCAGCCCGCTGGGGACGCGATGTCGGGGTGTAACCCCCTGCGATACAAACCGCGGGGAGCATCTGGGTCCCTTCCGGGGCTGTGAATTCCAGGTTACAAATCACGGCCCGCGGGATCCCCCAGCGGTGCCCCCGCCGCCGGGCACGGGTGATGCTGCCGCTGCTGCCGCGATGCTCCGGCCCGAGGCCCCGGCAGCTCCGCTCCGCCGCCCGGGGCTCCGGGACCGCCGACCCGGGACGGGGCTACCGGGGCCGGGCCTGGAGGCTGCGGGAGGCCGGCGGGGGACACGCGTAGGGCAGTGTGGCGGGGATATTCGTTTGTGCCATATATATGTATATGTCTATGTATATATGATGTATATGTAATATGTGTCTGCAGGTACATAGACACGAGCCCCCAACGTGTTGCTAAGTCGCGGCTCTTTGCCGGTGGCGAAGCGGTGCTGGAAATGGGGAGGAGAAGTTTGGGGTGTGCTAAAAACCGGGGTGAGGGAGGGTCCGGGGGGGGGGGAGTGGTGCAGCCGGGGGCTCCCTCGTTTCGCGGAGGTGGCAGTGATGGGGCTGGGGATGTCCGGATAAATCCACCGAAGCCGTCCCTCACCTCCAGCCCTTCCACAGAGTTGGCGCTGAAGCGCTAAACCGATTTCCACCAGTAAATTGTTCATCATAATAATAATTGTGTAATTACTGTAAAGGGTGTTAATTATTGATGCCCAAAGCAGTAATTGGTATCTATAATTAATGGGCCCGATGTGTTATGCTGTTGTGTTTAGCTGGGAAGCCCGGTTCTGCCTCCCCGCCTTGTTGGGGCTGGGGGCACGGATTGTACCCCCAAACCTGCCCCTCCTCGGCATCGGTTTCCTCCTTCTTTTGGGATAAAAGGCCCCCCGGGGGAGGACGACACACCGCACCTCTGCTGGTGGCAGGAGGGACGTCCCGCGGGGTGGTTGCGGGTTGCCCTGCCTGGTTTGCGGGTGCGGGGCCGGGGAAGGGCATCAGGATGTGACCCCATGGCTGTGAGCAGGAGGGAACGGTGCTTCATTACCTTCTGTTCTGGTACCAGGTTTTCACCTGCGTGTCGGTGAGGTTGAGGGAGGCGGCCAGCTCCATCCTGTCCTGCACGCTCAGGTACTTCTGCCGCTCGAAGCTGCGCTCCAGCTGGGCCAGCTGATGGTCGGTGAAGGCGGTGCGGGCTTTGCGCGGCTTTTTCAGCCGCACCGGGGGGCTGTCCCGGGAGCTGGAGATCTCTCGGTCCCCTTCTTCTTTCACTGAGCCGAGGGGGAGGAAGAGAGGCCAGGTCAGGGCAGGAAAGGAAGAGAAATGCTCTCAAAAGAGGGGGTCCCCACTGCAGCCCTGAGGCGGAGGAGCGAGGCTCAGGGCACGTTTGTAAATGTTAATCCCGGCTGCCCACGGGGTTCCCGAACTGGGCCCGGCTTTTCCCGGTCGCAAGGCCCCGGGTGATGGGGGGAGCCCCAGCCCGGCCGCGCTCCTACCCGAGGCCCTGTGCTCCGCGTTTCCCACGGGGCAGCACCCTCGGGGTGTACCCCCAAACCCAACCGCTTTCTCGATGCTTGGGTGCTATTGTATTTCGGTGTTATTGTTGTGTTTTGTCGTCCTTTCCCTTTTCTCTCTCTCTTTTTTTTTTGTTTCTTCTTTTTTTTCCTCAATTTTTCTCCCTTTTATTATTTTTTCAGACCCAAACCAAATCCAACACAAAATGAAAATCAGGAGCCCCCAGTTTTGGAGGGGAAGCTCCCTGGTGGTGCCGCTCCTTGCCCTCTGCTGAGGAGCCCCGGGGGACGCTGCCGGGGCCCGGAGCAAACCTCCCTTCTCCCTGGCGCACAACGAAATACGGGGGAAGAGGCTCCGCAAGCCTGCGCCCGGCTGTTATTTACCTTTAAACCCGCGGATTGGGGCGGGCTGGCTGCCGTTCGTTACCGCACTCGGTGCATGGGCACCGGCGGAGAGGTGCGGGAATTTACGCCGCTAAACGTTAAGTAGGGGAAGGGGAAATTTCCGAGCAGAAACAAAAAGAAAGGGCAAAAATTAAAGCCCCGTTTGTGCTCGCCTTGCCCACGCTCCTGGAGGAGAGGATGGAGCGAACGGGCTCGGCTTGTACAAATCGGCAGCGGTTGGGGTTTTTACAGGGTTTATGTTAAATTCGCTGGTGGCGGGGCCGGGCTGATTTCTCTCTGTAGGAAGACAATAATCCGGTTAATTGAGCCACCGGGGAGCGGAACCCTTCAACCAGAACTGCCGAGCGGGCACGGCTCGGGATGAGCGCGGAGACCGGCTCCGGTTCCCGGGGAAAGCGGCATCCGGAGCGGGCCGGGCAGGGCAGGGGGGTCCCGGTGCCGGTCCCGCTCCCCCCGGGGAAAGGCCCGAAAGTTTGTGCGGAGTTTGCCGCGGAGGAAAGCGGGGCCCGGCCCCCCGGGCTACCCCTGCGCTCCGAAAACTTCCTGCTTGCCGAAGGGCTGAGCTCTGCGGCGGCCCCGCATCTTCCTCCCCTGCTCCTGGCTAAAGCGATGGTTTTGTATACCATTATAGATATGTCACTTTATGGCTTTGCGTTTTGGCAAGGGGCAAATCCTGCCGCTGCCGCCGCGGGTTAGGCCCAGCCCCGCAGCCCCTTTGCAGAGTAAATCGGGGGCGATTTGCCCCCAGGAACAGCGATTTCCAAAGCAGCAAATAAAAGGATCGTGCTGGAGCGGGAACCTTCCCCGGCTGCCCCACTAAAGGGTGGGTTTACCCTCGTCTACGAGGTGGTTTTGCCCTCACTTAAACTGTGGTTTCCTCCACATTTAAGATGTTGTTTTGCCCCATTTAAAGTGTGTCGTTCCCTCCCCCCCACCCCCCCATTTAAAGGTGTGGGTTTTTCGCACCATATAAGAGATGGTTTTTCCCTTGTTTTAAGCGGTGTTTCTCCCCATTTAAGGGTCATTTTTCCTCCCATTTTAACTGTGTTCTCCCCTATTTAAGAGGTGGGTTTTTTCCCCTATTTAAGGGAAGTTTTTCCCCCATTTAAACGGTCTTTTCACAGGGGCTGTGGCTGCCCCATCACAGGGGCAGGAGAGGAGCAGAGAGGTCCCCGTCTCAAACTGGACCCCCCAGCCCGGGCTCTGCCGGCTCAGGGGGACGGGGGGACCCCGCGGTTTTTCTCCTCCCTCTCTTCCTTCTCCTCTCGGCGATTTGGGGGAAGGAGGTAAGCTGAAGGAATTCGGGGAGGGGGAATATAGGAGGCGAAAACAACGGCCAAGGTGGGAACCGCGGCTGTTCTCAACCCTGGCCCTGTAAAGCGGCGGGTCCGATCGCAGGCTCGGCCTATCCTGCCAATTTCCTATCAGCATCCCGCAAATCCAGCGGTCCCGCACGGTGCCATCACCTCCCCTGTCTGCCCCCGATGGGGACCCGCTCCTTCCCCTCCCGAGCACTCAGGAAACTCTTTTCCAGGGTGAAAGTTTCCTCAGGGGTGCTGGGGGCGCGAGGGGAGCGAGGACCGACCCCAACCCACCCCGTGCGGTCCCCTTGTCCGGGAAGGGCCCGCAAGGGCCCGGGAAGCCCGAGCCCCCGGTCCGGGGCGAGCAGCCGCGGCGGATGCGGCCCGGGGCTCCCTGTCTGTCGTGCTCGGTTTTAAACCACCTCAGAATAATAATGTAAATAACACAAATCCAATCAACCCCCGCCGAATTTCTTCTTCGTTTCTCCTCGAGCGGGGAAAGACCCGGAAACCCCGCGATTATTTTATTATTGTTTTCTTTTCCTTTTGTTTTTTTTCCTTTTCTCTTTCCTTTCCCATCACAATCCCGTCCTCGCTTCTCCTCTTTCCCCGCGAGAAGGAACGGAACAACCGGATCTTCCCGGCGCATCCTCCGGGCGCGTTTACCCAAGTGCCGATCGCCTCAGCCCCTTTCCACCGGCTCAAGCCCCTCCGAGCCCCCCAAGTTTTCCCAAGTTGGTGCCGACACCGCGGTCGTTTCGGGGACGACCGGTGCCGCCGTTCCCCATCACCGGGGCGGCTCCGCAGTGAGCTCCCGGCGCACCGGGAAGCTCTGGTGCCGCCGGAGGCTTCGGGTAGAGGCCGCCATGCAGAGTCCGGCGGAGTGCGCGGCTCTTACCTTTGTACTCTGAGTCCGAGGAGGAGCTGCTGGTGTTTTTCTCCATCTTCTCCCGAAAGTCCTCGCCGGGCTTGGTGGGGATCCTGCCCGCCGGCTCCTGCCCGCCGTGAGGTCCATTGGTGCTGGAGTAAGGAGCGCAGGCGGCCAGGGGCTTGCAGTCGGCCAGGATGTCTCGGATGAGGAAGGAGGAGGTGACGGTCCGGGACTGGGAGGGGGCCGAGACCTGCCCCGGCTGCAGGAGCGCATCCAGGCCCTGCCGCGGCACCGCCGCCTCCAGGCACTCGCGGCCCGGCGAGCGGGGCGAGGGGCACCCGCTGCTGCCCTCCGAGCGGGGGCTCAGCTCTAGCGGGGACCGGCCGTCGCCCACCAGCGGGTCCCCCTTGGGCACGGCCGGGCTGCTGGCTCGGTGGGAGAGGATGGAATCGATCCCAAACCCGGTGGAGCCCTCCATGGCCCCCGCGAGGTGCCGGCGCTCACACGGGCATTGGCAGGGCGGGTGCGGCGGAAGCGGTTTGGTAACGATAGTTAACAATAACAGGAGGGAAAATGAAAAATCGAAAAAATTAAAAAAAAAAAAAAGGAAAAATTATAATTTAAAAAAAGAGGGTAAAAAGAAAACGAAAGCGCAAAGTTCAGCCTGGGATCCGGGCCACAATTGCTGCAAGGCTCTCCGAGGCGCCGCGCATTAGATCCAGGGCTGCTCCGTCTTCAGCATCGCGCCCAGCTGCACTCACAGACAGACAGACAGAAGAAGGGGGGGAGAGGAAGGCAGAGTCAAACTTTGGCCGCGAAGGGGGTGGGGTGAGAGGGGACGGACCCCAACCTCACCCGGGGCCCCGGCCCCTTACCCGGCCACCCCACCCTCGCCCGGGGCCGCGGCGGCGCGGGCTGGGGGGCAGCCTGGGGGCTCCCAGCCGGACGTGGGGAGGCAGCGATCGATAGTGGTGCTTCGCAGCGCCTTAACCGCTTAATGATCCAGAAATCGATGGGGAAGGGCGAGGGGAGGGCGGAGGGGGTGGCCAGCCGTCGGGCGGCCGCGGCGCCCCCCTTCCCACCAGCACCTCGGACAGCACCCGAGGGGGGGGGAACCGGAGTCACCGCGGGGCCGGCGGAGCCATCAGCACCTCGGACAGCGGCAGGAACCGCGCCCGGGGGGGGGGCGCAGGGGGAGGAACCCCCAAGCGCTTTGCCCCGTTAGCAGGGGGACCCCGGCCCCCTCCGGGAGAACGCGCCCATTGGCCGCCGGGTGTTTGGGGGTGTCACTCCCCAGCGGCGACACCTTGCAGGTTCATTAACGGGAATTAATTGCTGCCCTGGTCCCGGCGCTTTCCGGGCGGTTTCCGCCCTCTTTGGCTGTCATTATTCCGCTGATGGGGCTCGTAATGGGATGATTAGCTGCGGGGGGATTCCAGGGGGGGAGATGTGGGGTAGAGAAGGGGAGGTTGTCAAAGGGCTGCTGCGCTCTGCTCGCCCCCCCCCCCCCCCCATTAACCGGTCTGAGGGTCCCTCCCGGGCTGGGAAAGTTTTTCTGGGCGTTAAAATAAAATCTAAAAATTAAATAAAAAACATATTAAAAGAAATAAAGAAAAGGGAAAGCAGCGAACGCTCCCCTCAAAGCCCCAGCGCAGAGGCGGCTGCTCCCAGCCCGCGGTGAGCCTCGGAGCTGCGAATTTCGTTGAATCCCCTTCAAAACCCGTTGCGAGGAAGCAGGATGCTCCTCGAGTGCGGGCAGACGGGGACCGGGCATCGCCTCCCGGAGCCGGGGCCGCTCCTCCCGCCCTCCCAGCGCCCAGCGGCGGTGCCTACCGGTGCAACTGGGAAGGGACCGCGCTCAGGGCGAATTTTTCCTGATGTCCATCCTGTTTTAAACAACCCCCGGCCCGCCCTGCCCGTTCCCTGCCCGTTCCCTGCCCGTTTCCTGCCCGTTTCCTTCCCGTTTCTCCCGGAGACACCAAGTTTCCTCCCTCCCGCCACGTCGCGGGGTTTTGCTGCTTTTGGTTTCCCCGTCTGGACTCCCACCTTTTCCCGGTCACAGCGGCTCCTGCTTCCTCCTCTCGGGCTCATTTAGGGGCTTTTCCTGCGGGTAGACCCTTCCCTTGGAGATGAGCAAAATGTCCACGCCCGGGTGCGTGGAGCTGCGCCGCTCCAAAGCGGTGTCGCCGGTTATATCTCAAAGACTCGATTTCCTCTGTTCCCCACTTCCCGGCCAGGCAGATGCATCTTGTCCCTCTTCCAAAGCCGCCCTTGGCCGGCAGCTTGGAGGCGATCAGGAAGGGGAGAGCCCCCCCCCGCCCCGGGAAGCCCGGCTGCCAGCTGTCGGGCAGCGGCGCAGGCAGGGCCCCAGCACCTCCCTGCCCTCGGCCCTGCAGGCTCGGGGCCGGCTGGGATCGGGGCAGCGGAACAAAAGAGCCTTGCAGCGGGATAAGCCCAGGGACGAAATCGGCACCGCCCGGTCGGTGCCGGTCTATGCCCCCTGCCCAGGATCCCGCTGCTGCTCGGCCCCGTCTTCCTCCCCCTGGCACGGCGATGCCAGGGACCGGGCTGAAGGGTTCGGAGCTGCCGGGGAGCGGTTTTGCAGCATCCGCTGGGCAGGACCAAAGCAATGGGTGTGCAGGAACTGCTCCCAGTGAGAACGGGCAGAGACCCCAAAGGGGTTTCCCACCTCTTTGCAGTGCGAGTGTGTTGGCACTGACTGCCTCCCTATGCAACCAGCAGACCCATTTGGGATGGAGATTGGCACCGGGATCAGGACCAGCACTGACTCTGTGTTAGGGATGGGACCAGAGGCAGCGCTGGGAGTGGGTTTGGCATCAGGATTTGGATCAGCCATGCAGAGACAGGGCTGGGCTGGTGGGTCTGCTGCTGTGTTTCCTTCCCTTGAATAAAGCACCTGCCTTCAAACAACCACAAGAAAGTTTCTAGATCAGGCCCACTCTCTGGTGCTGGGCAAGGTTTTGGTGTGTGTGGGGAGTCCAGTCCTCATCCCTGAGTGGACACTATATTGTGTCACCCTTGGTCAAGGCCCTGGGGACAGAGACTGTCACTCCTAGGCCATACTTGACGTTACAGATGCACTTTTTTCTCATGTTCTAATGGCAGTGGGACTGACATGAATTAATATCAATTATTATTGTTATTATTATTAAGGGGGCTTTTGTTTTTGTTTCTGTTTTTTTTCTTTCAGAACTAGATTCCCCAAGGCAGAGACGTGCCTCATCCTGCCCATATGAGGTGTGTCCCCTGCATCACTGGATAAGTGGGCTTCAAATGATTTGTCTGTGGCTCCCAGCATAGATAAAAAATCCCATGTACAGACAGCTAAACAGTGTACACTGCTTCCCCTGCCTTCCCTCTGTGTGTCTGCCTTTAAACCCCATTTTCTAGACTGTTCCAGTTCCCAACTACACAGGCATGGAACAGACAAGAGGGGATCCCTGGTGTCAGTTGGGTTTCCAGTTCCTCACAAGCCCCACTTGCACCCCAGGTTGGCTTTAGGACTCTGGCAGCTTTGCCAGGATCCGGTGCTGCGGATGGACACGGTCAGGCTCTCCTGGCACCAGTTGCCAGTGGAGCTTTGGTCCTGGGGCTACAGAACAGGGCTGACCCCGAGTGTTCCCGGAGGTCTGGGGTGCCGGGGGAGCCCTGATGGGGCTGGGGGACACCCGCAGAGCTGGACCCTGGTCTGGAGGGCAATGAGCTGCTGAGCTGTGGCCATGACCGCAGCAAGGGTTAGTCCAGAAGAATCTGCTGGTGGTTCCAGAGCGGCATCCGGAAGGGTCTGGCTGAGGGAGGAAACTCCCCGGGGGCTCTGCTCTACTGAATCTCAATCGGGAGCCAAGCTGGGGGCTCGCAGAGGCCGTGCCCAGGTGGGCACAGGGAGGGATGCTCAGCGGGGACCGGCTTCGCAGGGATGCTCCGGTGAGGAAGCGAAGGCACCTTCGTGAGACAGCGGAGGGCAGAGCGGCTCGGGGTGTGGGGGACGAGAGAAATGGGGGGGGGGAACAACGGGGGTCTCAGTGCCGGGGAGGAGCAGGGCCCGGCGGTGGGGAACCTGCAGCAGCGCTGGAACCCCCTTTGCCGGTGGGTGTCACTGCAGGACAAGGAGCGGCCGGTGCCGGCCGGGGCTCGGGACCGAGCATGGCTGGGGCACGGTGAGGGGGGGCCCGCTTGGGGCGGCTCTGTCACCTCCAAGCGCCACCGAGCAGCGTCTCCTCCTGAACGCGCTTTGTTTGGCTCGGCCGTTGCTTTTCGGGTTCTGGTGTCTTTGCTGGCTCGGAGCTGTCCCAGGCCAGGAGGTCTCCATGGGCCTGGTTCCCACCAGGTTTCTTGGGCAGCCCTTTTCCAGGGGTGCAGGACTCCCTGGGGGGGCTTGCATCCCTCTGTGAACCCCAAGGATCCGAGCAGTTTGTACAGGTGGGCACGGATGCTGTGGCTGGAGGAAGGGCTGGAGGTGGGCAGTGGGGCAAGGCTCAGGCTGGGTTTCTCACACATGCATTAACTGTGTCATTTTGGGCAGGACAAGTCATTTACGGCCCAGCTCCCCTTCCCTGGGGAGTGGGAAAGGTGTCCAGTTATAATGCGACCGTGCCAGCCCAGCAACCCGTACTGTCATCCTCCTGGTTACGTTAGATGGGTTCTATTTAGAGGCCTGTGCTATATAGAAGGACCCAGGTACCAGGGTTTCCCCTGTGTGGAGCAGGTGATTCCTTTCTCCCTCAGCTCAGGTGTGGGCAGGGTAGAGTTTGCTACAACTGCTTCCTTGTATAAAAAGCAGGTTGAGGCACCACCTGCCCCTTAGGGGGCATGGGAAATGCCAGAGCAGCGGCTGTGGAGCCTTCCTTGTCCTGAAAGAGGTAAGGAAAGCTGCCCTTGCAGCTCAATTTGTTGTTGTGTCTTGAGCAATGAAGCTTAATGTTGTGAAGCACTCTGCTTTTTGAGGTTGGGGTTTAAAAGTTTGGCTCCAAGTGCTAACAGGCTGTTGAATGGGAAACCTGAAAGCTACCATTCGACTTAAGTATTATGTGGTACAGCCTGAGTTATAGCAATAGATGTGAGAAGCAGATTGCATAGGAGTAACTAATTATTCCTTGAGCAACCTTGGAGATGCACAGTTAATCATGGTTGTTACCAAGTGATCTTTTCTTAAGGTGAAATGCCCTGTTGGTAGGAGATGGGTTTTACACGCGTTGGTACCGAGCTGGGGTTTGAGTTGGTGTTGGTGGAGTTTGTGTTTGTGCAGCAACTGCTTGAAGTGGCTCAGCCCTGAGGGACAGCAGCAGCTATCTGAGGGTAGGTGTGGAAACAGGCTGGAGCCATCTTCAAGGGGAGGCAGGGCTCTGTGGTGAGGCCTTGCTTTGGCAGAGTGCTCAAAGCAGATGTTTAGATGCCTTCACACAGGCTTTGTTGAATTAGGCAGTGATGGGAAGCTTATTTGGCAGAGAAATGGGAAGGACTGATGGATTATGAGGCATTATGGACTTGATATCAACTGGGATATGGTTGCATTTAATATAATTGTGCAGAATGAGCAGCTTTCCCTCTGAGGCTGTGCTGGTGTGAGTGCTGTGACTTTGAGCATGATGGGGATTGTGCTGATCAGACTGAGTAAAGGTGTTGTGTGACTGATAGAAAGCAATGAACAGGCTGAGACAGAATCATTGCCTTTCAAATGCGATTTATTTGGCTGTATCTATATTAGCATACTTTCAAAGACAGAAAGCCTATTGCCTATGGCTGTCATAGGATCCAAGGGCTGCGATGCCCAGCACAGTGCTGTGTGGGTCTTTTGGGGCCCATGTCCCACAGGCACCCCTCAATGGGTGGCACTGAATGCCTTCTGACGAGCCCAACGATCTGGAAGAGTACTGAGGTGAGGCTTGACCTGTAAGAGAAGGAGCAGACACACAATTGGTTACAATGAGCAGCCAGCCAGAGAAAACGGGTTGTGGCACAAGCAGGAAGAGGACTGGGTTAGCACAAGGGTTTGGCCTGTCTGGGAGGTGCTGCTCCAGCTGAAGTTAAACACAACCTGTTTGAAATGAGGGCTAGTTTTCTGATTGACTTCAGGAGATGCTTATTCTGCCCTAGTAACAAGATCCTGCAGTCTCACTGTGCTCTGTTGGTTGTGTGATGTTTCCAAATGCTCTCATACCTTAAGGTGAACCCTGAAATAAATGTGGATGGTTTTCTACAACAGGGGACCTCTGTGATTCACTGGGGGGCCAGGATGGGCCCAGAGCCTATCAGGGACTCTTGCATGACTTGGCCAATGACCACAGAAGCAGCCTTTCTCCAGGAATCACCTTTAGTGTGGTGGTGATGGGTGAACAAATCCCAAGACAAAGAAAGGGGAAGTCATCTGATTGACTTCAGGAGACGCTTATTCTGCCCTAGTAACAAGATCCTGCAGTCTTACTGTGCTGTGTTGGTTGTGTGATGTTTCAAGATCATCTGGAAGAGAAAGGCCCCAGGGCCCTTTGGGGTGAGCGCCCTTTGGGGTGCTGCTTGCACACAACTCATGCAGCAGACTTACACAGTAAGTGCAAAGTTACTGAGATGCTCATGGAATGGTTTTGCCAGGGGGTGGAACAGGTTTATGCGCCCCAGTGCAATCCCTCGTGCCATACATCTACCTTGTGTGGATGTGTGGAGCTGCCTCCTGCCTCCCCCTGCTCCCCACTCAGGCTGGCTGGATGTCAGGTTTTGCATATGTAAAAATACGCCGGCGTCTTTGCCCTGGAAAGCTTGCTAGTGATCTCATTAATCAAGACAAACAAAGCGTAGTTAGCTGTTCCCCCTCTCTGGAGGTACTTACATATGCATTTCAGTGCCGAACTTCA